TTCTGTTGTTGTTGTGATAAAATATATGACATAAATAACTAAAGGAAGATAAAGGTTTTTTGGCTCACCATTGGGGGCACATAGTCCATCGAGTTGGGGGTGTGGATCCGGCAGAGGAACCTGAGATGGTTGCCAGGAAGCAGAAAGAGAGGAAGGCCAGAGCTCAGTCCTCTTTCTCTTTTTCCTGTTTATTCAGTCTGGGATCCCAGGCTGTGGCCTGGTGTTGCCTACATTCAAGGTGCCATTCTTCCCTCTGTTCTTAACCTGCTCTGGAATGGCCCTAACACACACACTCAAAGGTGTGTTTTCAGATGGCTCTAAATCCAATTAAGCTGATGGTGAAAACCGGTTGTCCCAGCTTATTCCACCCTGTAGTCAACCCAGACACAGATTTTTCTAATGTGAGAAGCGAGAGAGCATCCTCAGATTATTTGAGAATATATCAACCACAAATATATCACTGTCACTGAAATATGGGATTGAAAAATGTGAGCAACTGAATGAAATAAAGTAAGAGGACAGAATTAATTAAAGGCCGTAGGTAGTATTACTAAAGATGGCTTAAAAGGTGTTGGAGTACACTGAACAAGCATAAGCCAATGTGAAAAAATAAAATACCAAATCACAGTTAAATAGCTTGACAAAATTCACCCCTGAAGGTTAATAATCATCATAATAATCCAAAGACAAAAGTAGACATCCAGGAGATAGATTTTAGAAACACCGTCAGAATACAGATGAAAAAGACAAGAGGAAAAGTAGAAGGCATTTGCTCAGTTGACTTTTTGCTTCTGTGAAAAACAAAACAAACAAAAAACCACTGACCAAAACAACCCGAGGAGGAAAGGCGTTATTTGGTTTTCAGATTATATATAGTCTGTGGAGAGAAGCCAAGGCAGGAAGCTGGAAGTAGGCACTGAAGCAGAGACCACAGAAAAGTCCTGCTTACTGACTTGGTTCCCCTGGATAACTCAGCTGTCTTTCTTTGATAGTCCAGCCTACCTGCCCAGGGTTGGCATTGCCCTTAGTAGGCTGGACCATGCTATAACAATCCGTAATCACGAACATACACTACAGACTAATCTGATGGGAGCAATTCTCTGATCCCCTCTTAGGTGTGTCAAGTTAACACCTGAATCTATGACCCCATTCTAGAAGAAGGTGGTAGACATATTGGAGAAATTACCAAAGACATATTACATCAGCCCCAGCTAAGTGTGGAGGAATGCAAAAGACTTTTTAGAGGTGTGATGTAGCCACCAGAAAAAAGTAATTTAAAAGGTGTTGGCTGAGACTAGTTCTTCTGGGAAATAGATGTACACCTCTGTACAGTAACTGACTTTTTCTATCATTGTCTTACACTTGTAGGCACACCCTTATGTATCAAAATGCTAACCAAATAGTATGCACATCTAGCTAAGGGAAGAGCAGGATTACCACCCAAAGAAGTGTCACGTCTGACAACAACCCATCCCTTGGGGAATCTCTGAATGAAGAGGTGACCTTTGGACTGTATCCCCACTGCAAACCCACAAATGCCTTCACAATCACGTGCCAGAGTGTAGGCAGCAGGAGGCAAGGATACCTGTATCGTGGCAAATCTTCTGTGTTAGCATGTCAACACAGAAGTGAAGGTTCTACATGGGTCAGTCATCATATACCTGCTATCCTCTGTTCCACCACTACTTAAACAGCTCTGCCCAGAAGCCCATGGGGAAGGGCCTAGGAAGCTGCACTGACATATTCCTTGTGTAGGGATGGCCTGAAAATGAAGCCCAGACTGGCAGTCTATGCAGTGCTGGGGACGTCACCTGGACAGTTACTTTTTCATCGCTGTGATAAATATGTTCAACCTGAACAACGGAACGATGATTTTTGGCTCAGAGATTTCATTAGTGGTTGATAGATTCCACTTATCCAGGCCCATGGCAAGGCAGATGCCATGGTAAAAGCAAAATAGAGTAGAATTTCTGGCACTCAGTTCGCAGATGCCAGCAAACAGAGGGCAGGCTGTCTGGGGACAAGACAGACCTTCAGAAATCCCAACCCAGTGGCCATCTCCACTACCTCCCAATGGTCGACCCAGTCGCGAGTCCTGACAGAGATCAACCCATCATTTGAGACAGGGGTGCTCACGTCTACTCACTTCTCAGCAGTACCACCCAGCCCTTTAACACGTGAAACTCCAAGTAATAGTCCAAATGTAATCCATAAGTACTAGTATCCAGAGTTAATGGAAGCTAATAGAATCCCTTTCCAACTTCAGACATTTGGCTGGGACCCAAAAAGGTCGGAGTTGCTGGGCAAAACTCCCCAAGCTGCAGCTCACACGTCTGTGGTGTCACTCGAGCCCCCAGCTCGCGTCGCCTGGTCTTGGTTCTTGGGAATTCTGTCACTTCTTTAGAACACGGGTTCCCTCTCAGCGGCTACTCCTTTCACTTGAGTGAGCTTGGAAAAGGCTTTATTGCAACCCAAGTGACAGTACGCCGAAAAGAAGCCCGAGAAAGCACAGCATTTGGAAGGGACCAGAGGGCTGATGGTGGCTACCAGGTAGCAGGTGGAAGGCGGCTGGTGTGCTTCGTGTGTAACGACAGCTGGCACCAAAGGGGCTGGGTACCGACACTGAGGCCTTTTTTTTCCCCCAAGCTAAATTGCTTAATGATTTTATACATTTAAAAGTATCATTGGAGATCTCCATATAGTTCTCAAAGTCTCTTCTCTATTTAGGTGAAAAGGAAGAACAAGAACTTTCCAGCTGTCTTTAAGGACAGTGCCTTTGTCTTTCAGAACCAGGCAGAGGACTCCACATGATTCAGATTGTCAAAATGAGAATCAAGAAAATGTTTATTGTTGCATTTCCCTCCTGGAGAGCCCTTGTTGAGACATATAGAGGAGAGAGAAGTCCCTGCCAGGAAGAGACTAATGTGTCTCTGTCAGCCACCCCTTGGTTCCTTCCACTTGAAAAAGGGAAACTTCACACCAGAGGATGCCAACTCTGTAGACCAGAATACAAACTCTGTCCCTTTACACTCGTATGTTACCACAGTCAAAAAGGCCAACTCCGTGTCGCTGTGGATCAGGATGCAGAGTTCCTTTATAGTCAAGTGTGAACACAGCCAAAACAAATTCTTCAAGCTACAAATGACCAAACCTTGTCCTATCCAAGATAGGCTTAGCAAGAAAGCCAGTTGTGAAAGTAATCCTACCTCTCTGTAGCATCCCATCTAAATCCCCATGGTCTTTAAGTCCCATGAACACCTAAATCAAGTTCTGATGCTTTCTAATAAGTCATCCCTGGGATCTCCACACTTTCTGAACGCTCTTGCTGATCTGGTCTAGTTTCCGTGGAGTGTCTCTCTCAAGGAAACCATAGTCAATCCAATTTATTTGGCTCCAGGGGCATTAGCTTGGTTTCTGCTAAAGCGTTTGTCAAAGCCTCAGGAAGGCTACGACTCTCTTGACCATTTCTGATTTTCCTTGTCTCAGGCACTAAAGAGCAGTGACTTTCTTAGTCCTGGCAATAATTTCCATGTTTACCATCTATGACCCACGGGTGCTTTATATGGGTCTCTCTCCAATAACATCCCCATAGACGTCTCTTTCCATGTTACTCCTATGGATAAGAGAGCACCCTTGCTTCACAGTACTGTGACTGTCGTTTCCTAAACTCTCTTTGTCACCAGACAAAGCAAGAGTTGGCAGCACAGAGCTTTGAAGGCTCTGGGTCAATCTGGCAAGGTTCCAATAACTTAGTTCACTTTATTAATTTTACAACTGTCTCCCGGCTGCATAGCCTTTCAATTTACAAACAACATAGCTCTTCCACATCTTTCTCAGGGAGATTTTGAATCCAATTAAGGGGGGAAAACCCTAAAAAATAAATAATAATAAAAGTTTGAAGGCCATCAAACAAGGAAGCAAAAAAATCATGCAGGTCTCTGGAGCCCAGACTTCAGCTCCCTCTCTGACATTGATGCTTGGAATTTAATTTGCATATCTTCATTGCAAGCATTCAGATGGCAAACATATACCTCAAGTACTCATAATGCCCATCTCCCTCCCCCTTTTCGCCCTCCCCTCTCTTCTCTACCCCTCTCCTATACTCTCCCCACCCCCTTATCCTGTGGCAGGTAAATGTTCTAAGACTAAGCTAAAGCTTCAGCCTTCCTTTGATTTTTTTTTTTTTTTTTGAGTCAAAGTTTCACCCTGTAGCCTGGGCTGGGCTAGAATTCACAGCAATCCCCCTGCCTCCACCTCATGGAGTACCAGAGCCCTGGTTAAGTATGCCAAGGGCTGCGCATTTCGCTGAATGAGAGACTGGGGAAGGCCAGCCTGCCTGATTGCCTCTGTTCCCTGGAAGTTTCATTTCTTCAAACTGAACAAAAACTTCAGTTCTAAAATTGCTTGAACAGCAGATTCTTTGGTTCTCTTGAGTCCCAGTTTCGCGAGTCACCACGAGGGCCAGCTGAACTTTTCTGATGTGGGAACGACCTAGAGAACACTTGGATAGGAAAGCGAAGGGTAAATGTGTGCTTGCCCTTCCCCCTTTCAGTCCTGAAGCACCTTGACAGCTCACATCCATTTGCTCGGAGTGGGGTGGAGGGCATTCCTGCCGATTCCCTGGTGTCCTGGGGGTGGGGAAGAGGGCAGGGATGGAGGCTGGCCCCCAGCATCCGCAGGAGGATGGGCAGCGCTGCAGGAAAACACCCGGGGGAGCCTGGGTGGTGCAGTCTCCTATGCCTTGCAGAGCCCAGCAGCCAGGAGAAACTGGCTTGGGACTCTGTCTTTGAAGAGTTCTCTGGAAGTTGGAGGGGCGGGGCGAGCAGCGCTCTCCTGTCCTACCGGAGTCCTGCGCGGGAGTGTGAGGAAGAACTCAGCCTGTAGTCGCAGTCCCGGTGCTGTCCAGCTACTGTCCCGCTCCTGATCAGGGGTGCACACAGGGTGCTTGCTCAAAGGGTCGGCAGGGCGCACGCGCCGGCTTGGCAGAACGCACCGGCAGGATGGTGGGGCTGGTTTTGCTCAAGGCGCTGGTCACCAGGCTGCTGTTCGTGCTGCACTCTCTGGTCGCCGTGTGGCGAGTGACCTGGGTGAAGAAAGAGCACCGTTACTGGCTGCTGGCCCTGCTCAACCTCTTGCTGGTCCTGGAGACAGTGCTCACCCTCAAGTTCAAGCGCGGCAGAGGCTACAAATGGTGAGTGTCCTGGAAAGAGAGGAGGCAGAGGGTCCCGGGCATTGTTCATTATGGTCCTAACAGGTGGCACCAAAGCCCTTGTCACTGCAGTGTGTGGTTTCCTCGCTGGCATTTGAGCCGGTTTGGTTCTCCGCTGAGCACGTAGGATGCGGTTACATCTTTTGGGCAAGTCAGTTGTATCTTGGGTTCCAGCGTAGCGCTGGAAAGGCTGGAGTCTGGACCTATGCATGTACTTGGCTGATCCAGCTGATAGCCTTCACTAGAAGAGTGGAGCTGATCCCTGGGTGCACTGCTTTGTAAGTTCGAGTGCGAGACTGACTCGGGACCAGTCCAGGATGTACGTGCAAGAGTGTGCAAGAGTCGGGATGCTTTGCCGGGCAATTGTGATCCTGGCAGAGCTGAGCGCTCCGGAGCGTACACTGAAAGGTGGCTCCCCCGCACCCACCTTTGGTTTTTAGCCCTCTTCCCTTCTTGCCAGCCCTCGGTGCGACTGTGGTTTTAGCCACTTCCAATTCCTTCCAACCCCAAACGTCCCTGGCTCTGCATTGTGAAACCAGTTTCAGGTGTCTGCCTTTGGTAGCTTTGAAACTTGGCAGCCTACCTCATCAGGCATGGTTTGTGCTAGGGATACTGGAAGAGGGACCAGCAATGATTTAGTCTTAACCACACAGCATGGGAACTCAGGGTTCCTTCCGCTGGTGGCTGCGTTTCCTCCTATAGACTGAATGCAAATGAAAAAAGGTTGACACAAAGATTGCCCAACTACTTGCAGAGCGCACCCCAGCCACTCACAGTTACTTTCCAGGGCAATTCCATTCCAAACTTCTCCAACTTAAGCCTTTTTTTCCTCGAAGGAGACGACGGTGGTATTAGGTTATTTATTAACTGCATGCACTTTGCTGTTGTGTTAGCTGTCACGTTCAGAGACAGAAGTCCCTCCGCAACGGAGTACGGAAAGGTTGTATACTTCATAGTCACTGTGAAAGAAGATGGGCTACCTTTGAAGATGAGGTGAACATAACTTTAGGCCTCTGCTTTTGAGAAATGTCTAGAATTATCAATGCTCAAGTCCTTGGGGGGCTCAGGGTAGATGGCAGAGCCAGGGTAAGCATGGTACTTCCCATCCCCCTTACCACAAACAATTTATGAAGCTTGAGGCTTTTGTGGTACTTTCTAAGACATAAAGGGGAGAAACCAAGGGGAAGAGATGATACGTTCACCTGTGCATTCTATAATAGAAACATTTGAAGTGTTTTTGTCTTTTTTACCCCTTAGTTGTAATACACTAGAGTAGACATATCTTGCATTGCAGGAGGAAGTCTGAGGCCAAAAACTGTGCAGTGTGAAGTAGTCCGGACACCAATCACGAGCACTTCTGGGACAAATGTAGATCTCAGGGAGGAGTCAACTCAGCGAAACCTGAAGTAACCCCTTTCTCCCCAAGAGTAGGCCAGAGCCATTCAGCTCCTGTGGTAACACCAGAACTGGTGGAATACACATCACAGCCTTCTGTGTGTTTCGCTGACTCAGGCTGTCATGGCACTTTCAACAAGGAAGGGGAAAATAATCTGGACAAATTGTACATGGGTCAGTGAGTCAGATAAATGGGTAACTGGAGTCATGTTGGAGTTTAAGCTGTGGGCTGCAGAATTGGGCTTAAAAATAGGATAGATTGTGGGCGTTACTTCTTACTTGCATAAACTTCGATGTATTTACTTCGTGTCTCCAAGCTTCAGGGTCGGATCTGCAAACATGTATTTCACAGGTTGTTGGAGGATTATGTGAACTTATATATGTTGAGAGTTAATGAATCCCAAGAAGCTCTTTTTATACCCTGATTTTTTTCATTTCTTTCATATTAAAATATTCTATGCCAAAATATCAGCTAGACACATTTTATTCTTGTGTGAGTCAAAGAACTTTAGCAGAGGGACTATTTAATAAGCCATTGGTTCAGAGTGCCAAATGGGGGAAATTCTTCCGTTTCGAGCTATAGACCTCTGCTGTGTGTTTTGTATTACATCACTGGTTCAAGAGAAAGGTTGCTGGCTTGATATCCCAACCAATATCTGAAAGTACGCAGGTAGGGAAGTTGATACATTTGGGTCATTACAAAAGTTCATGAGCAAATGGGCGTATGTAAAGTGGGGCGAATCATCTGCTCGCTCTAGTTCTACCCAATCCCCAGGCTACTTCTTTGATGCGACAGAAGGCACGCTGTAAGCCAGCCTGCGAAGATGGTCATTTGCACTGTAGATAAAAACCACAAACAATGGGCTGTGAAAAACATAAATGAAATTATCCTTGAAATAACATGACAGCAATGGGAAAGGCTTTGATTTGGGGCCTATTTCATTCTAGGTTGGAGTTTTCTGAGAAAAACACGGCATAAAGCATTTTCTGTTTGAGCATGTTAAGAACCATTTCCTATCCCAAATTACTAGCTGATAGAATCAAAGAGAGAAAAAAACAAACACTATAGTAATATCTATGCTAACTATATACAGTGAAATACAACACGTATTATCTATATGGGAAATGTAATTTTATATAGTTGTATGTGTAGATTCACATGAATGGAGATAGATAAATAGGTAGGAAATTTTTTTGAACCAGGGTCCCTTCTTTCTATTTTGCAATCTGCCCAAAGAATCTATATGTAAAGAAACAAGCCAAAATATTAACTTCCCCCCACATATTGGTGGAAAATTATGTTGAGAAAATTATAGTGAGAACATTATGGTTTATTCATACTGATACTATTGAAAAGGGTGAGATAGAGTTTATCCACTGTAGTAGAGAATTCTCCGCTGTGTATCATCAGGACAGGGCACTTATAGACTTCTTTGTTATGGCTCGTTTGTTACAAGGATGGACTTGGAGGAGAAGTATACATTTTCCAATTGAAAACACTTGGTACACTCATCAAAAAAGAAGAAGAAAAAGATGTGGCTAAGTGAGAACAACTGTAGAAAAGAAGAAAGATAAGGAAGAGGGGGAGAAGAGAAGAGAAGTATCATTTAACTCTGTTTCCTTGATTTTTATTATTTCAGTTTTCTGGGAAACAATCCAACTGATGTATGGATTGTCATTTAGGTAAAGTCGAAGCACACAAGACGGTGTTTCAGTCACTTCTTAGCCAATAGTGCTAGAAAGGAGGAGGCCATCTCAACACTAACCCTTCTCCCATATTGAAAAATCAGTTGATTCCAGTAGCACCCAAACAATGGCTATGACAGACTGGAGGGAAGCAAGAACAGCTCCACCCTGCAGGCAGACATAAGCACGCATACACCAGGAGCAAAAAAATCCCTTTGTAATGACTAGTGCAACATGAACTTCCGTTTTACTCTTTCAGGCTAATTTGAATATTATTCATTTTGTTAAAATTTAAACCTGGACCCTGAAAAGCTGAACGAGGGATGGCACAAATCCTGGTGCTATAAAGGACAGTGGGGATTCGATTTCTCCATGTAGCAAGCACGCACATGTCTCTAAGGACATCTTCCCAGCCCTTTGGAAGGGAAAAGTGGAACTAGATGCTGAGCTCAGCTGCACAGGGACAAGGAGCATTACAGCATCCCGACTAACTTGCCAGCTGGAACTGTTAATGCTGGAATTCTATAGAATACAGAGGGCGGACCCACCAGTGACACACCCGGAAGGAATGCCAGGGGGGCTTGTTTTTCATTCCCCTAGTGTTCACACTCCCTGAATCTTCATCTGTCTTTCTCCAAGATGGAAATCAGCATTACTTAGTTTAATTTGTTTCTTGATATTTTTTTTTCAGTTGTCTGGGCAAAGATCCAATGGATCTGTGAATTATCGTTTAGGTAAAATCAAACACAAGACAATATTCCAATTGCTTCCCAGCCAATAGTGATAAAATACTCCTCGGGGGATAGGAAATTTACCCAAGTTCGTGACAAGTTTGAAGCCTGTGTGCTTGGAAGGAGGTAGTAACTGAGAATAACAAAGAAAAACTCTAAGGTGAAATTACTGGCAAAAATACAGACTTTTAACCACAGATCTTTCTTCATCACAACGTTAATAATGTGAAGGATTTGTGACCCTTTGAGTTAGTGGGTAATGACCTTTGTCATCTCTCCTTTATTTTTCCTTTATGGTTGGTTAGGCAAAAGCTGTTTTTTGTTCTGTTTTCTAGACAGTCCTCTGCAGTCCTGGTAGCCTTCAACCTGTGACATTCTTTCTTCCTCCTGAGTGTTGTGGTTGTAGATACATGCTACCTAATCAAATTGACAATTATTTGTGTGGGAAGTAACAACAATATTGTGCAAGGTGCTATGGCCTGACAAAAGTAACAGGAAACAAAGAAAAAATAAACCTGAAAAATTTAAATAAAATATAACATTTTGATCAAGCGCTGTAATGTGTGGAATGAAAATCATTGCGAATCGTTAGCGTTTATCGAGTTTCAAGGTCTGGTGGATTCTACACACGTGGTCCCATCTATTCCAACAACCACTACGTTTTTATCCCCCTATTTTCCCCATTTTCATACGGGAAACTGAGGCACAGAGTTGTTAAATCTTTTCCCTGAAGCTTACAGAGTTGGAAAGGACGAGGGAGGGAGTCATGAAGACTGACAGATCCCATCCTTGTCTGCTGTGCTCTTCAACTTCCCAGAGGAGTCAGGGGGGCGAGCACCAACAGGCAGGGCAGAGAACTTTGCAGCATCTGAGCTGCAGCAGGATAAAAGGGTGTGACCTGCATCTGGAGGGAGGGATTCAAAATCCAGCTGGGAGGAAGGACACTCCCAGCTGGCAGAGCAGGGACCCTGGAGCTTACCCTTCATTCAAGCACAAGACACACGGCCAGAACTCATTCCATGTAGTGGATATGCAAATGTGGAAAATACGGAAAGAAACTGAAGTAAATTCCTTCCCCCAGTCACTTCATGCATTTTATGAAGGAGATGAGAAAAATCACTAAAGAAGTGCATAATTAGTAAACTGATGGACTAACATATCAAATGAACA